GGGAGGTCTCGAATTTGGCCACTTTTATGGCCGCCAACACTGAATGCATTTCATCGAAATGTATCACTTCTTGCGGTTGGATCTGCTTCTCAGTGACCAACTCGTGGTAACCGCTGAAGAATTTGCTAACTATTAGCATATCGACCGTTTGATTGCATTTAATTGGCTTTAAATTTATCGTTTCGGACATCAATTCAAAGTATTTTCGCACAATTTGTTTGTCGTTTATGTGGTATAAGTTGAGTCCAACCAAGAGTTTGTCAATCGTGTCGTCAAAGGCTTGAAAGTGGACTATATTTGCGACCAATTGTGACAATAGTTGCGACAAATCGTGGCATTGGTTTGAATGGCAGTTATTGAGCACTAAATGACTGACCAAATGATTGAAATGCTTTTGTCTCTCGGATTTGAGGCCAATTGCCATCACTTCAGTCAATCCCATGAGCGGCACATCGTTTGGGCGATTGGCCACTGGTTTGCGCTTCAGTGCACTCATGGCTTGTATTGTCCGTTGATTTTGACCACAATTTTGATGACAATTATGATAAACACAACAAAACGTGGAAAATGTGTTTACATTCAGTGAAGCATTGGTTTCATTGAAATGGGTTTTAAATTTGACCACAAATTACGACAAAGTTTCTCTCAATGTTTGAATGATTTTGAGTGAGAGTCTGAGTGCACGACAAACAACTTGTGGTGACTTCTTGCGCGCCGATTATCACCAAAACCAAGGCGTCGATGGCTTTGATGAGAGGTCTGGACAAACGAAGAGAGCGACGAACGGAAGTGATCACCAAAACAGCAGCAGAATTGGATCCGTTAGGCGATCACAGGAATGCCATGAATGATGTCTCGATGAGGATGTTGGGGACCATCGATGATCTGGCGGTCACGCAGGGAATGACGGCTCAAGAAGTACAGTAAGTGATGCCAACCCTCCCATCCCTAGTAATAAGATTTCAATTGACAGACAATTACAAGACATTAGGGCTCGTGTAGTGGTGTTGCGGACCCACCTCTTTGGGCCAGAGGTGAGTGCCGGTGGACACACACCTACTCCCGGATTGGCATCATTACTACGGCTTAGATTTGGAACCGATATCTCTATGCTTCACACTCTCGTAAGACATACCAGTGATCATCATATCCCTAATGTAGACAAGTATGTACTGTATTCTTAGTCTCTCTCTCTCTCTCTCTCTCACTCTCTCACTCACTCACTCACACACTCATTGAATTGATACATATTGATAGCATTGACTACAATCTGATGCATACAATACGTGTGGATCTGCGGAACTTCGCACACAATAACTCCATTGAAGAGATAGTATTGGACGACACCGGGGATCAAGACAGTGGTGACCATTGGATTGGAAGTAACCATTGATTTAATAATTTATTTCTAATGTCATCTCACTATTGAATGATAATTACACATATTTTATATGAATTTTTATACTAAATATTTTGAATATTATTTTCAATTCATATTGAAAAAGATTTTCGAAAATAAAAAATTAAATTGAAATAATCATACAAATTACTGCCCGCTCTATGAATACGCCTTTCCTCCCGGAGCTCTATCTAATTAATTTAATTAAATAAATTGTAATTTATGTGATATTTTTCTAAATATTAATAAACTCAATGCAATTATAGTAGTGTGTTATTCAATAAATATATTTAATTATATTTGGTAATAAATTGGTTGATACTGAAACTTTAAATATTTAAACTTAAACTTTTAAATTTTAAAGCTTATTACATAATAATACATTAGTATTGGTATCATATATACAGTACATTGTGGTATTGCTATATTGTAATAGTACTGTATTGTAATATTAGTGGTGAGATTATAGGTCAAGTGCATGACCTAGTCAATTAATGTCATTCATTGGCATTTGATTTATTGCATTATTATTGTTGTGAAAAACATTTTTATAAAGTCATCAAAAATAAGTAATACATTCAAAGCGATAATATTTGATATGAAAAAATTAATGAAACCATTTTAATTTATTTCTATTTTAATTAAAAATTTTGAATCGAAAAGTTAAAAAGTTATAAATAGTAATATTTTTAACTTTTTAAAAATATAACTTTTTGATAAATAAAAAGTTGTGAAGTTGTGTAACTTTATTGCAATAGCTTTTATAGTTTGGTAATTTAGTTTTGAAATTAATGTTGAGTGGGTTTTAGTGGTTAAATTGCAATATAATGATTATTTGAGGAAATGTATGAATATTTTATAATTCAAATATTTTAATTACTATATAAAAGTCAAAATATAAAACAAAAATATTTATTCCATTACTAAATCATTGATTAGTAATACTTTATGACCTTTGATTATAATCTAGTTTTTAATTTTTTATAATTGCAATTTAATTATCAAGTTTATTGCCAATGAAATCAATATTAATTAAAGTGGTTTCTTATATGAATAAAATTATTATTTTAAAAATATTCAATCACTATACATACGAAATTTGTTATAAATTTATATAAATCCAATATTTAATACATATTTTATTCAAACATTTTTAAAAACATTTGTAATTATTTTGATTATAATTAATATGAATAAATAAACTTAAATCTAAAAACGAAGTCAAATAAAACATATTTTTGCAATAAAATGAAATTAATATTTATTATAAATAATTTGATAAACTCTTATGACATGTGAAATAAAACTAATTTTCTCAACAGATAAGCGGCACATAAAATATTTGCTTAAATAAATTTACATTAATTATTATATTCTCCAAACAAAGTGTGTATTCATAATACGAACACATATTGAAAAAGTAGTGTTTTTGACACTTCGTCTGAATAGCTAATGAATGGTATGAATAGGTTGTGCCGAATCGAGAGCACCTGTAGTACTCACGAACACACAAAAAGATCATTTAAGATATGATTATAAGGTTTTGTTTAGTGAAAAAATGTTTGAAATTGTTTGAATATTTGCACAAAATATTTCATTTCATAATTAACTGTATGTGAAAACAATGAATGGGAAAACCTTTGATTTAACATAAGAGCCTATGAATAGGTTTAAAACTTGATTTTTGTTTTGTTTCCTTTAAAAATTCTCATCAAATTGTTTATTTTTTATTTTACTTTATATACAAAGTATTTTAAATTAAATGAAAATAAAAATAAGAGAAATATTATAATCTTTTAGATTAATGTGAAAATTATAATTTATATAAACAGAGATTAAACCAATTTTTAATAACAGAAGTTTACAAAAATAAGATAAACAGTTATTTTACTGAAATGTATTTGTAATGCTTTTATTTAAGAATTAGTTTGGTTTTAATTGTTTTATTTAGACAAATAACAAAATTAATATAACATTTAATGAATCAAAATAGTAAAATGTCAGTACTTTATAATATTGTAAAATAATGTTAATTGCAGTAAATTGTTGTCAAATGAAGTCCGCGGCAATTGTCTCAAAACTTATTATCCACTCATTTGTTAGTTCAGACATTAAATGTTGATTTACTCTAATGTATGTCAGATTAATAATTAATGCATTACTTATTAGTAATTGAATTCATTAATACATTAATAATAAACATCATTAGGTTATAATAATTTAATATCATATTCTATTAATTTCCAATTAAATTTCAATTAATAAAAACTTTTCATTTACAATGCAATATGACTAGTTATGCAAAATAAAATTCTCAATAAGTTATATTAATCGTTTACTTAATAAATAGCCTTTTAATAAAAATTTAATTATAGTTCAATAAAATCATTTACTACACTTAATAGTAAAATTCTATATGTTTGCAAAATTTGAGTTTAATTATATATTTTAATGAAACTAATTAATTCACAAACCCTTTGAACGACAATAAATTGAATGAAATGTTTTGATAGCAATTTGTAAGCATTCATCGGAGACATGCATTTAAAGGGATGAATATATTCATTGAATGAATGGAATCGACATTCAAAATGACATTAAGACCGGAGATGTCTGTTGAGTGCAATCAACAGACAAATGATTGTATGAGGCGTTGACTGACAATAGAAGAGAAATATATTTTCATATAACAATCAGTGGAGAAGACTATAAGTTATATTCAAAAGTAATATACAATAAGTTGTATAATGAAAGCAACGATGCATTCATGCAGTGATGACTAGTTTTTGTGAACGATTTTTGTTGGTATTCGAGAGTTGCCCCTAAAACGAGACTATGATTATAGAGTTGTGTCATAAGAGTATGAGATTCATGACCACACTCTCCAACTGCACCGCCAATGACTGCAATGACTGCCGGGGCTCCAACTCCCCAACAGCCCAAACATACAGTACTCCATAATAATAAGATGTCAGTAAACTTCCTTGAAGTACATTCAAGTGTACATTCACTACATATCTATCGCAAACATTTGTTTCCATGAGCAGTGAGACTGAGGCTACAGTTCCACTTCGAGACTACAGTTCCACTTCGAGACTCTACCACTTCCACAGAGTTTCTCGACCACAGTATCAATGCTTTCTGGAGATCCACTCAAGCTTTTGTCAACAGTATCCACTCGTAAAGAGTTGTCAGAAAAGTTTTTTGTTAATCATTTGTGAAATAGTTTGGTGTGAAATGCAAACATGAAATTGAAGGCAACTTTTCATAAAAGTTTTATATGTGTTATCAAAGTGGTGTCAGTATTATCGGTGTTACTCAGTGTTTGTAATTGTTTTAATTTTCGCGAAATTTGTGATAATAAGCCAAATGTGACCATTATATCGACAGTTATTTTGAGTGATCAATCCATTTACGTGTCCACACAAACACATTACGCGTTGATTGAGTCCATAACCAGAGATCACTTACCGATCGTCACCGACGGCTATCCCAAACTCATTGACGAAGAATTCAAAGGACTTCAAAGAAAACATACAAATACTGCTGATTTTGACTATGAATTTGTTGGCAATCAATATTTTCTAAAGGTTTGTTTTGCGATAAAACTCAATTAAAGCAATTAACGAGTGATTTTGAAACGAGTTTACAAACTTTATTCTCTATCGCTATCTCCGTTCACACAATCATTTAAATATTTCACAGAAATTTTTAGTCTTAAATTAATTTCTACTTGTATTATATGTATTATACCTACCATTATGTTTGGGTTAATGTTCTACTGGTTTATACTGAGAACCGGTATTAATGTAATGATAGGACCGGAAATTGATTCAGAATATTAACCTCTAAAGGGTTTTAACAAAAGTATTTCAAATGCAATGTTTTAATAAGGAAAGGGTTGTAAAACACGAAACTTTCTGATTACGATATAATAGTCTAAAATCAGGATTTCCTTCAAAAGGGGACTAAGATTTGTATAAACAATGAATTTATTTATTTGAACACTTGGACCAAATAATTGTGGGTTTCAACCAAAACTACTTAATTAGGATTTGAGTGGTAACACAGTTGACAAACTCACATAAGTTAAAAACAAATAATTAGTTTACTGGCTTGTTATCTAATTATCTCTCCAATTACTTAAATCAGAATTGACCCCTAAAAATGCCATCCCTGGTCACACCGACAGAAATACAAATTGTTATCATAACAATTTTAAATAAATTGCTGGCATTAGCAATAAAATTTTATTTTTACTAAAATTCTGGATTAAATTGCAATTAGTATTTCAAAAAAAAAAGTTTTTTAAAGAAATAAATTAAACTTAACTTTATAATTAAGAGACTTTTATCTTATTTATTATATTTCTAGTATACAATAACATTACAAACAATTGTATTTTAAAGATTAGACTATTACATAATTAAGAAAATATTATTGTGAACATATCTATGATCAGATTCATTTTATTTTTTACTAATCAAATGTTAAAACTATAAACAATTTTACTTTTCATTTATTCTTACAATTATTCGTTAATTTTTTTTCTATAAATTATTAAATACAATAATCTTTAAGATATTAATCACAAACAATTGAATCTTGAAATACAGGCTAAGCATCCAAACGACAGGAAGTTTATTGGTTTCAATGAGGTTTGGATAGGATGTCCGCAACCCCTTTGCCTTAANTATCTAAAAGGGTTGGACTAATGGGACCGTCATTTGGATGAGCTTGCTGGTCAGGATTACTGTAATAATTGTGAATGAATTGTGAATAACTGCCAAAACCCCACTCAGAATATAAGTTTTCACTGCAATTGAATATATCCTTAAATACGAAACGAGGCATCAATTGAATGGATGATAATTGATTGGACTCCTTATAAATATAACCGATAACCAAGTTAATTATATTAATAACAATTTAAATATGTATTAAACAAACCTCTAATTGGGATGATTTAAATGAATAATAAGAAGAGTCTCTAA